CTCCGGCACTTATCAGGCGCTGAAGATGATGATGTGCGAGAAAGAAGAAACTCTACTGGAAGAAACATTAATAGACTTTAAGAATTGGACGGAAAACGTTGCGAACTACTTGTCTGTGTTTTTCTTAATACTTACTCTCGTTGTTTACTCAATGTTTTCTTCATTGAGAAATCTCTACGGCAAAGCACTGATGTGTCAAGTTTCGTGTATGATTGCCGCTTACAGCTTTCTACCTTTGAATAAAATAGAATTCTTCATGGTGAACTACCTTCAGGATGATCAAATTTGCAAAAGTCTAGGTACGTGACAGTGTCAATTTTCTGCCATTTGCCTACTAACCTGTACAACAAATTATCATTTGTTACATTTTGACAGCATTTTTATTTCGACATTTCTGAGCATCATTGGACGTTTTACAAGCATATTTTTTTAGTTAGCGGCAAACAATGTTCTTTGTCTCGCGAGTGAATTAGGCATCGCTTATCCGAGTGTTGCAATGGCGGTTGAATTCGTTGGAAAAAAACAATTGCAGATAGAAGCAATATCTCGCTTGCGATGCTTGGAAATTCACCAATTATGTAACTTCGATGAGTATTTCCCGATTGAAGAGCTAATTATCTGTCCATACCCCTTCTATGGTTCATGAACATTATAATATCATTGTCAAATCATTATTTTATAAATGTAGATAATACACGCGCGAAATACTTTACAACGCTGTTAAAAGAGATTCCAGGGATAATATCACATAAATCATTTTAAAAAAAAATTTGATAACCACTAAATTACGCTACAGGTTTTTCCTACCTATGTAAAAACATAAAAAAAAACACTATCAGAAAAAATTTGCCTCTACGAACATTTTTCTTAGGGTGTCTCGAAAATTTTTTTCATTAATCTCAATTGATTCCGTAGAACTTCGATTAACATGTCGCTGTTGAAATTTTAAAGCCAAATATTTGAACGAGCAACAGACTCGATTTTATCGTCTAGTAGATTCGCTGTTTTTCTGTATTTTATAGTCCTAACCAAGGTCAGATCTCATCTCGAGAACTCACACGTGTCTTTTTCCAGCGACACTGGACTACTGCTGTGCTTAATCATTGCAAGTTAAACAGTTTCAACAAGACGATATTGATGAAAATCTCCGCGATTCATTTGTACAACGATTCATACAACATACACGGAAATTCCAGATAATGTTCCATTATAATTGGCCTTTTGATTACAAATACCAGCTGGACGATAATTACAAATAACTCGACGGAATTTTTTATTTCGCGCTGTACGACCTGCACAAAGTTTTCGTTTAGAGGAATACCGTGAGACGACGTTTATGAGTGCTCTTAATGTAAAGTTACTTTCATCGTTTTTTCCCTCCATTTGCATTCTGCGCGACAAATCAAGTGCCTTCCAACGAAGTTTTATTAATAGTGAAAAATCACAGCAAGTTGTTCATCTGCTGCCTCAACGACTTTTTTTCGTTCTAAATATACTCTCAAATGTAGCTTCATGATTCTTGGTTGAATCGTCACAACATTTTAACATTTATTCAATTTTAACGCGCAAGATACGTTTGTAATTGACGTTTGAATTATACTTTGTCATTCGAAATACGTATGACGATAATAAGACATCATCCGATAGAATAACTTTCATTTTGTATTAATTTTATCTTGAAAGTACTTCCGCTTTTTCGTGCAAGGACGCTTTATTTTAAGCAAGAGCGCATTTCGTTCATTTTTTTAGTAAATTTCTTGCCCAGAGTCGGATTAATTTTGTTTCTTTCATCTATTGCATAAGTTATTGTGCTGTCATTATGCATGGGTATTATGCTAATTTACGTCCGCAATTAATGCGCGGAATCTCTCTATATATCTTTGAATGTTCAATGTATGTAAATTACATTCGGAAAAGTATGAGCATAGCCAATTATATATTATGTCGAGCGATATAACGCCTCCGTAATAAACTGTGCATTGAAAATAAAAGCGACGGGCGAAAGTCGATATTCTATCGGAAGATGACGTCGCCCGCGCCTCAGATCGATATCAGCGCGGAATTGAGTGTAATGAAAATGGCTCGCGCCGTTCAATGAACGAGCGGGTTGATGGAGTCCTCGGTGCTGTTGAGCCGACGACCTTGGCGCCTGGAAGCGCGCCGCCGTGACGGTGCGAAAAGCGGCGAGCTCTCGCTCTCCGCTGAGAAAGTTGCGCGTGCGAGAGGAGTGCCCAATCGCCGTGGCGTTGTAAAAGTAGGAAATCAACAGTTTCCGCGCGCCAATGAGCCGAGTCTGATCTCGATAAAGGCTGTATCTTGCGGTCCTTGCTCACAGGATGTTTTCCAGCTTTTAATTAACCAAAGGACTTCCAGTTTCTGCGGGGGCAATCAAATCTCGCGGTTGGTTTTCAGAGTAACCATCGTCGGAGGCGCCTACGTCAACTGCCTGCTAATGATTTCCGAGCGTGACGCGAGTGGGAGATACTTCTCGTTTTTGTCTGTTTAATCCTCTTGCTCCTAATTAAGATTGACGTGACAGCCAGCTGGTCTCTTCGCTCGCTATTAATTTAGATTCAACATTATTTCGGTGAGAATTTCTTTTCATTCAGTTCGTAATCCTTGCCAATTCAAGAGATTATCTTTGATCGCTGCTCTCGCCTGCCATAGTTATTCTAGTTGACGCTGTGCTCCATTGGTGTATGCAAATAATTAATGGTAACATCTTTTTGACGGAAAAAATAACAGTCCGAAATTTTGCTAGTCAACTGCGTGCATATGTTCTGACCACAGCAATGTCGAACTGTTATTTTTTCCAAAAACATCAACAAATCTGTTAACGAAATCTCAAAAAGATATTTTCTTTCCTCGTTTGCCAAATCGATCGAGCATAGCGTCAAATAAGACAAAAGAATATCAGCTAATTAAGTTGAAATATGTTTTGTTTCGATTAATAATACATTATATATTACATTATACATTATATATTAGTATATGCAGCATTATGTATTATTAGAAGTACACGAACTACGCCACCTTTCTTTTTTTTACAAACGTTTCTTGCTTGCAGTTAACAGTTGAGACAAATTGAGTGTAAAAAGCTGAGAGATTCTAAAGAGATGCGCAACGATGAGTTTACAGGTATACACTGTCGATAATTTGCGATTCACATTGCGAACTACTTTGCCGAAAAGACATAGACGGGTGCACGATCTACCCTGTAACCAAGAATAAATTCGACATTTTGAGATTGAAGCAGTCGGTTTAACTTTGGGAACTCACGATAATGTCAGTATCAAATGTTAGTCAATAAATTTAAGCATAACCAGCAATTAACGATTTCGATATAACCATCTTGGAGCCTATGTAGTCGCCGGCATAATTCGAATAGAGTATTTGAAACGATAGAGGATCGTTTTGATTGTCGATAGAGTATGATTTGAAAACTACAAAAGTTCCTCTTAGATCCAATTGTATGCATTTTATTGATTCCGTTTTATTTACAAAATTGTATTTCGTATCTGCGGTCGGTGATGTACACAGCAGTAGCTCCTTGAGTGCTCTTATTGCTGCTCAATGTCGCATTATAAATTTAAGTCAATGAATTGTATTTTCAAACAGGAAGTATCCTGATTCACGGATATCCGCGTTAATCACTCGTCCAGTCGAAGATACTGATTTGAAATACGTACGGAAGAAAAAAAGAAAACAAAGATAAAGCAAAGCACAAAAAAATATGAAATTTCACGCGAAACAGCAATGCTTATTGGCATGTCGGGCGGACAAGGCGTCTCGTTGTTCCGGTACGCACAGATAACGGAAAGGCGCGCTGAAAGATGTTGGCCACCTTTATCGTTTCGTACATGCTTTGCACGTTTTATCCCTATTTCAATGGCCTCGCCTCTTTGCCATTAGAGACACGCAACTATTTGTTCGTAGAAGAGTCTATTTTTAAATTCATATGTCGTTTCTCTAAAGTCCTTTTGAGGAACACGTATTTGGATGGAATGGTATTAAGGATTTTACCGAAAAACCAAATATTGCGTTAACGCTTTGCTTTTCACCAAGTTTTCATTATTTGCGATACTTTGGAAAAAGTAACCTGATTTGCTTCATTAAGTATATTCGGTAAAATTTCAAGTTGATTATAATACAGGTGTAAATGTTGTGCTTGACATCGTGACAAAAGATTTAAAGTTTCCACATTTTTACTATTTTTAATCATTTCGATAGTATGCAATTATTACTTCATGCATGGGATCATATGTAAAAAATACGCATATGTTTGTTTTAGGTCAATATAATTATTTCGTCGTGTTTTATTGGTACATTTCATCAACTCGACTTTTACGACAGTTTGATTAAAAAAAAAGACAATTACTTAACTAATCGATTATAGCAAGTCATGACGTCAGCCGAGCAATTAACTCACGGCCATAACAGGTTCGAGCAAAAGCTTCGTCTGTAACACAACCTCGCGAAAGAAGTTAACTTTTTTTTTCTAGCCCAGTGTCTGACTGGAAACAAAAAATAAAATTCCGCAAGCGTGCGACATCAGTGATCAAATTTTTCGGGAAGCTCATCCCAAACAAGAAGAAACATTGCCGCGGCCAGCGCAATTGTTGGCGACAATGAGTCGGATAAATCGCGACGCACAAGTCACGTGCGAGTTCATCCCGAATAATCGCCGATCTCGAACGGCGCGCAGGGCACGAAAAGCTCGCGCTCGCGCTCGCGGAGTAGGAGGAACAGAGCTCGCGCGCGCAAACGTACGTTCGCCCGCAATTGCCACGCTCGGCAACGTGTGTTTCGCGCGCGTACACCTACTACGAGTACTCATCCTCGGCGCGCGAAGAGAGCGGCAGCCGGGGCGATAAGCAGTCAGCCGAGCGGCGATGCGCCAAGCCAGCCGGCCGGCCGCCGAGAGAGAGAGAGAGAGAGAGCCGCTCCTCGGCGCGCGTAAAAACCTCGGCGCGATGTCTCAGTCGTTTGCGATACGCGCCTCGAGATGATCGCGCGCGTTGCGCTGCTCGCCAGCGCGCTGGCCGCCTCGGCCTGGGGCTACCTGCTGCCCAACGAGACCGAGTGCCCGAGCGAGGCGCTCGTCGACGTGACCGCGGCCTTCGGCAAGGGCCACGAGCGCGGCTCGGTCTGGTCCGACGGCGTGTTCTATCCCGAGGACGCGATCGTATGGACGAACGGGCGCGCGCTCGGCTGCCCTTGCAGGACCAGGGCGTGCCTGTCGCTGTGCTGCGTAGCCGGCAAGTGCCACGAGCCCATCGACTCCGACGAGGGCTTCTTTCCCATCTACGAGTCGCGCACCAGGCGCGTGAACCGATCCGCGAGCGTCAGGCACTTCTGGCAGTTCGCCTGGAATCCTTGCCACGAGACCGACCGCTACGCCTTCGAGCCCGAGCTCAATCCCGGCGACAGGTTCGAGCTCTTCGACAACGGCTCGGTCTATCAAGTCGCCGTCGACAGTCTGCGCAACTACACGGACTTCTGCGTGGAGCCCTACGACAACTCCTACAGGGTCATTCTGTGCTTCGGCGAGGTCGGCGACGACGCTCCCAATCCGAGAGTGCACCGAGTGTTCTCCTACGGCATGCTCATCTCCGTGCCGTTCCTGCTCTCCACCTTCGTCGTTTACATGCTCATACCGGACCTGCGAAACCTGCACGGCCAGACGCTCTGTGCCTACGTGATGTGCCTGGTCGCCGCTTACGTTGCCCTCTCCAGCATGCAGATCGTCGATCAAGCCAGCATATCCGACCTGACTTGCAGCATATTTGGTACATGCCATCCTGGCTTCTTCCGGCTTTCTCTTTCATATATCGACCATTCGGAAATGGCGACAAGCGATGGGATTAACGTTACGAGCCCGACGGGAATCGGAAATATTTTCAGTGACCGCGGAAGAATTTTGCTTCTGTAATTACAAAGATTTCGTCTTTTACATGTACACAGGGCGTAATCGCAAACTTAGCAATGGCACTACCTTCTAGCAATCTCTCTTTGCTTACAATGCGGCTTTTCGTGCATAATACTAACGGTGAGGTGCGTGTTAAAAGAAATACCTGATAGCGATTGTTTTGTAATTGTTCGATCGGCGTTTATAATGCCTTGCAATAGATCGCACGATGTCTAGGCACAATAGGCTAATTTCATAAGTCAAGATACAACGATGGGATGCAACGCATTCTCTCGAAGCCAGTGAATCTTATAATAATTGACGAGGAAGCAGTTTCGTTGGATAAGAGAAAAAATACTTCGCTGCGAACCCAAGGTTCGATTCGCCGGCCCTCGTTTTTGCGCCGAGAAAACAGCTGCTCCTTCCGGTAATCTTGGGTGCCAAGTACTTTTGGTTTCTTTCCTTCGTGCCCTGGCATTCATCTGCGGTTGTGTGGGCATTCACAAAAATAGAACAAGTCGAAGAAAAGAAAGAGCCGGTCCCTCGCCTTGACAAACCTGTTCTCCGTAGGGGGAAAGAGGAGGCCCGCATTATTTGTGCGTTTAGTCGAAATTCTTTCGTATGCGCGCTGACGCGATGCACTGCGTTGCGGTGTCGAGCGTTTGACGTTGCCGCGAGATCACCGCGTTAGATAGCCAAACTGTGCACGAGCCAATTTTATTTTTGCGGGCACACAGCTGACAGAATCAAGTTCTCGTTTGGGGGCTTTTTAATGCTTCCATATCAAGATATTATCGTGGCTCCTAATGATAAAAAGGATAAAACATTGCGTTGACGCGTATCCAGGTAAAAATAAAATTTTTCGGGTTGTATTTTCCCGGCACTGCGTACGTATCGTGTACGTATGCCGGCAGTTTACTAAAATAATTATTTGAACAACAAATTTCGATTTATATTTTAGATATTCTTATAGATATAGACTATTTTGTCAAACTGAATAACATTTATAAAGCCCTTTTTTTATCAGCATCTCGCGGCTTGAATCATATACGTCATACACTGTAAAATCACTCTTGTACATACGCGCGTGCGCACTAACATTTAGTGATTTCCGTCAGGATATTTTTCATATCTAATCGTTGTGAAGTTGGCGTTAAAGTTAACCGCAAAACTGAGCTCCGGAAAAGGTCACGCAGTGAATCACAAATGAACTGCATTTCTTTTATCATATAAAAGAAATATCGTGTATTATAAAAATATTTTTACACCAAAATAACAGTCCCATCGCGAGTTTGTTATTGAGATATTTTTTCAATATGCCGAGTTGATCAGTGTGGCACACATTCACACTCAACACTTGAAATAAAATTGATTTAGTAATGACTCAATAAGAGATTATCTTGATTGTACCTTATCAAGTCGATACGATGTAAACTAAAGCTGAAAATATATTCATCATTTAATCATATAATTGTCCTAATATTTCCAATGTTAGATCGTAGTTTGGAAGGATGTATATGAAAAAACTCAAGCACATACGAAAAAAGTTTACTTTGTAATCGTTTCTTTTTATCATGAACGATATGCGTAATCAAAGTTCAATGATAAATGCCTTTTTGTAAAAGAGTTTGTATATACAATTATATGGATTGATCGATTGATTTTATATTATTACGATAAATATAGAAAATATAAAATTAGAAAGATTCATTGAGCGTTGGCATCGGCGAACGAACATTGTTCTTCCGTCACGGCCATACAAAAAAATAATCGACTAATTTATTTCTGTTGCAGCGTACATCGTTCACTTTTCTTTCCTGGCAAGTTTCTTCTGGCTTAATGTAATGTGCTTCGACATTTGGTGGACATTTGGGTAAGTCCCGATAGCATCTTTAATATCACAATTTTCAGCGTTTTATAAAGATAACATTCAAGGTTTACAATGTGACATTTAATTGGGACACAAGATACTACGTGTGTCCTAATCAGCTTTTTTCGTGTAAAATGAATAAACGTGAAAATCAATCGAAAGCTCGATCGGCTTTCCTTGTAAACCGTTTCCAACGTAACTAAATTAGAAAGTAGACTATTTCGCACTTGCAGCTTGTGAAACTGACGAAGAATAGATAGGAACGATTAAGTGTTTTGTTGAGTCTAAGCCATGGGCAAGTTCGCCCGCATTTCCGCTTTCATCGGGTTTAATGATTGCTTGACAACTCGAAGCAGCTGTTTTGTTACTCGTGAGAATTTTCAGTCGAGCGCCTGAATTTTTCGGACGAACAATTGTCATGCGAATTTGTTTATAAAAACAGAGGAGGCTCCCCGATCGTCGTCCGTAATTAAGAAGGTAAAAACTTTGCGCGACGTAGCAGCTTCGACGTCCGTAGAATTTCGCGCGTTCGGCCTCAAGCAAGCGAAGGATCTATGTCGAAGACAAGCAAACTGTACAATGATATCCGTTACGTGGCGGGCATAAACTAAACTTCGATGGTACAAGCTTTGAAGCACGAATGTATACATACGGGTTAATTTTGACTCGTTCCCCAAATCGCCCACGGCCCTCGCTATCCGACCATTCGTTGTGCGCTAATGGAACACTACCTCTTCCTCGACCCTCGAGCCTCATAACCAATGGTTTGGGTACTAATCTTCTCTGCGCTATTTGCAAGCTTCTATTATATGCAGAGTCGGGTCTCTGAGCATTTAATGTATCGGAATGTAGCATCTTTTTGCGTTATTAATCGGTGGAAAGTCACATAACAAATTTGTATCTTCACGCGACTCGTCGATAAATAATTCATAATTAATGTCACTAGTGATGGTTTTATACTGCTCAATATCGCGCGCTGCTGTCGTAAATGTATGCTTAGATTAATTTTTCCATTTACTTGAAATAGTGGTTAACTTTAGTTTTCGTTTATGGTTCACGTCCAATATTACAAATTTGTTTAATGATCAACTCCAATGAGAAAAATTCAAATAAATTCAAATTAAACATGTTAAATAAACTAAGACAATTACAAAATTTTACAATTAATTTTCAAGTGTATTTTTTAGTTTATAACTCCTTATTTTTTTAGTACTATTGTTTAATTGAAAAGTTAACTTTTCTTACTCATTTTGAGCGACAGACAGCTATCGATTCGAATAATTTTTCAACGTGAATTAAATAAATACATTTTTTGCACACTTTTATCGAATATCTTTTGTCACTCGTGAGATTAAGTAATATTTGTTACTGCGTGCCTAGTAAATTCTTAACGGCACACGGGAATAACCAATAAAAATAATTTCATTCGATACGTATTTATCGTTGATATTTGATGATTTGATCAACGATGGCGACGTAAGCACGATGTTTATTTGAGGAAAACCTGCATATTCGATGAAAAGAAAGGACGAGAGGGGCTGAACACGCTACTCGAGGAAACATATGGCTATTTTGCATATTGATCGAACTTTTACAGGCTGCGGCGAATACAATATATATAAAGGTTGTTCCGGCGAAAATGAAACGGGTATTCGCAATAGTTGCAAACCTTATCCGAGCGTTTGCCTTAAAGAATAGGTATTTGGAAAGTCTCGTTTATCAAAGCTTCAAAGATACGGGCAGTCGGCACGCACAATGCTCGTTTCATAGCAACTCTACTTGAATAAAGAAACACTGCGCGGGCTTTGCTCCAAGAGTGAAGACTCCGCGAAAGAATGATCGTTCGGCGCGATAAGAATACTTGCATCTGGTGCCTCGAGCACCTGACGCAGGCTGGCTTAAATCACGGTCCGCAGGTACAAACGAATATCCGCTAAAATTGTGGCGCCAACTGCACGATAAAAGCTCGTGAAACGTCGCGCCTATCCGTACGTATTTTTTCCTCGAAGTGGTGCGCGCATACATCCACGCGACGAGAGCGACGATAACGCCGCGAATGATCGCGGTGCGTGCGTGTCCCGGGGGGGAGGGCCGCGTGCACCTCTGGCGCGCGCAGAGAGGTACGCGGACTGGCGCAGCGCAGCACGGCCGGGCGGGCGCAGCAGCCGCGCTCGATAAGCCAGCCCCGGGCTTCGTGCGATGCGCGAGGCCGCGCGCGACCAGCGAGCTTCACCACCGCGTTGATGCGCAAGCCAAGTGCTCTCCGTTCAATGGGACACCCGCAGTCTCGTGGCGCGATCGACGGCCAGCGCCGTCGATTGTGCCTTCCGCACGCTACCGACGTCACATTTTGCGATGGCCGCTTCGTTTTCATCGCCCGTGGCGCTGTGCTTTTTCAACTGCCGGCAGCTACGTCTGCTAATGATTAGAGAAAATATACTACCGCGCCCTTCTTGTCTGTGCCAAATAAAGTATATACGTATATATCTGTGTATATTTATCCGAAGCTTTTGCAAGTTTAGTTGTCGCGACCTACTTTTTGCCACAATTGCTCATAATCTTTCGAACGGCTGGGATAGATTTTTATTATCCGCGTCGCCGTTACCGCGTGCCGAGAAATTTAAAAATACGCGACATTGAACGTTACAGAAAATCGGGTTTCGGCTCCCCCGAGCTTAGCCAATTGCCGCCGGTAAAAGCACACAACGTTTTAAAAATGTTTGAAAGTGTCGCGCACGCAGGCGTGCTCTCAATCGATTTCGAAGTCTTCCAATAATTCTCCCGACGCACTGCCGCGGTGGTCGGGCATTTTATTTTGTCAGACGTAAGCTGCAGCTCGGCTCTGTTTTGCGCGCACATTTCGCTCGCTGCCGGGCCGCAGTGTTGCGCTTTTGTCATACGGGGACGCGATTGCGCAACGCTGCCTTTTTCTTCTTCTTTTATTGCCACGAGGTGATCACGAGTGCGTTACACCACATGGGAAATACCCCGCGATGGCAGCGGGTCCGCGCGATAAAACGCCTCTGCGCGCCGCCGGCCTCCGTCGACCGCAACGAGCGGAAGGGAACGACGAACGAAATTGTCCGCTCGAGTGTTCCGAGTGTCTGGAACCGCGCGCGAGAGACGCCGATAAAGCTCGCTGCTGCTTGTGTCGGTATACGTACGTCGCGCATCGAAATCGTTCGCAATCCGTCGTGTGCTCAAAATTGGTTGACCGTAGTCAGACAGAGTTAGCATGCGCGAGTGGTATCACGCAAACGACTTCGTCGGAACTGCAGTGCCGAGTCTCAGGAGCAATTAGACTTTAGTCGCGCGACTAGCGCTTAGCGCAAGTTCAGAGTGGGATGTACTACTAAGAATTATTATGGCTGCGTTATGCGAATTATGTGGCTTGGCTCGTTGCAAGCTCAGCGGGAAGCGGTAGAGCGTGGATTTTACTAATTTAGACGAGCTGCTTACTCGACGCTTTATTTTACTCTGGATGTGTGCTTTTATATTGCATCCTCTGCTCGATGAAAATACCAGCGAATTTTTCTTTCCCTTCGTCGGTACACGTAATGTTTCCTGGGTATGGGAGTATTGAAACTTTGAGTTATTCCCTATCATTACAAATTTAAGTATGCACATCTTACGCGGTATTTACGAACAGAGGTTAATTGCTTTAGATTCTGCAAATCGATCGGCATTTCCCGCGATACTGACCGTTCACGTACTCGTGTACAACGCGCACTTCGAGCACCCAAATAGTGGGAGCTTCGCACGCCAACTGCCTACACTTTTCAAGATATTCGAAAACGCTATTTCGCCGCGTGTACATTTTGGCAAGATAGATATTACCTGCATTTTCATATTCGATAAGTCCAGCGAAACCGCAGTTAATCAACGAACGAATAGCGAAAAAGAAAAAAAGTATTCGAACGAGACGGATGATTTACGGCCCGAGTAGGAACGAGTAAGCTTCGGTATTGATAAGGAGCGGGACAAAAGTTAAACCCTTCCATTTCCTTGTGTATCTAACGCTTATTACAAACTGCGTGAAATAAAAATCGCTATGTAAGATATGGAAGCACGTTTCCGTATCTGATAATATAGAACCGAACTCCGAAGAGTACGTTCATTTCCTATCTGTCGTGAATCTATATGCAAATTCTAATTTTTAAAACAGATTGCGAGAAGAAATCTAGACAAATCTTATTGAAAAAAAACATTCCATTCGACCTAGATCTGTGTATAGTTGCGTCTCCGAGCAAGTCTAGAGAGTAAAGAATCACGAACGTAAAAAATTCACGACAACACTTCGCTCACATCCGGTATTCACCAGCTCCGATAAGACTGCAACGCTTCGACTGATACGATTGAACTTTCTTCCAAGAAGCGACGTAGGAAGTAGCAAATCGCAAAATCTCACGTCAAGTGTAAAAAATAACGATCGGTTTCTACATTCGATGGATTTCAAACTTTCACGTGAATCAAAAAAGAAAAAAATGATTTACCCAAATTTACTTTTCGTTGGAACGCAATTTGCGACACAAATCACGATACTTCGAAATACGTACATCGAAGCAGAGTTTTATCTCATCAAGAAAAAAAAAAAGAAATCAACAACGCGGATAAATAAAAGCAAGTCAATCTCGAGTCGCAGAGTAAACACTAAATCCGCAGTATCGGTTCTTAAAATCCCATGCTCAACTCAAATTCATTTGCGCACTCGGCGATCGAGAAAATAAAAGAGCGAAATAAAAAGTAAATCTATTTGCCCGCGAGGCTTCGCGAATAAAACAAAAGAGAGAAGAACTACGCGCCGTATTTATTTCTTTGGCGAGCTCGAAAGTTGCACACAAAGCAGCTGTTTTTAAGCGCGTGTACGTGCGTTGTTTTAGCTTCGAAGCGTGATACCTGTCCAGCGATCGCTTGGAATTAGTTGGATCGATTAGTTTGACACTTGCCAGCGGCTGTTTGCGCTTCTGGTGTGATTTCAAATTCAACTTTGACGGACGTCGGCGTACGTTAGTTTTCTTTTTTGGATTTTCATGCTTCGATAAATTATTGGGCGGGATTTTTCTTTGAGCGTCGTTGAAAATTAAAAAATCATTTGATGTTTTGTCCTTAGCGGCATACGAAACTTCGCATTATTACGATTACAGTCAATTAACAATTGCGTTAACAACCCATTAGTTTTCCTACGAAAATAAATGGACATTGCAAATCCTACTTTGGAAATGCTACGTTTCGCGGAGCTGTTTCTCAAGTTCGGGCAAGTGAAAGAATTCCCATTATATTTAAAACCTATTTCCGAGCTCACCTGACAAAAATTAAAAATTACAACGATTGCGGATTTCGACGTAGTGCAATATTTCGACAGGGATTTGTTTATTCGATCGTACAGCCGATACAAGATAGCGCGTGAGCGCGAAAAGGAAAACAAATCCATCCGTCGTTATCAACGAAAGCTCGCAATAGAGGCTACATTCTGGATTTGTTCCTTATCGGTAACCTGAAAGCGAGAGATACCGCGCGAGTGTAAAAATAATTACGCGAGCGCGTCGATAAAAGCTCGATGAGAGACAAGAGCGCGCGTCCGCGGCGAGCACGCCCACATCGAATCGCGGAGCTTCGGGCAAGGGAGCAATTAGGGAGAAGCTCTTTAGGCCGCGGCGACCGAGACTGGCAAGGCCGCGCGTGCGCGTCAGTTTTGAAGAACGCGATGAGTGGCTTCTTTAATCCATTATAAAAATGAGCGCGATAACGCTGGAAGCTTACGCGTAACTCGTCTGAATTTCCTCGCACGTGCTCGTCGTGAAAGTGGCGATCGCTAAATTGATACGTTCCCCCACCGCCTTGGCGTCGTCGGCACGAAAGTGAGAATTACACGTCGAAAGAATTAACGATCGGTTAGAAGACTTTTTTGACTGCTCGCGGCGTCTTCGACCTCTCCGAAGGAAAAGCAATCCTCGTCAACTGCGTTAGTCGCAGAGTACCGCCAGCAGCGGAGTGACGCGCGCGTCTAAGTGGCATTTAAACGATAGACGAATTAACTGGAACCTCGAAAATTGGGTTCACGAGAAAACTTGCCCCATACGGTGCATAGCGAGTTCGTGTAAATTTTCGTCAGCGCGTGGGCTAAGGTGCTCTCTATTGTTTCAATCGATCAACGTGTTGCCAAGCCATCAATTGCATCGGGCACTTTACCGCCACTCTCTCTCTCTCTCTCTCTCTCTTTGTTTTCTCTTTTTTCTCGCTCGTCGCAGCCGATTTATCACCAATATACAGGCGTTCGCTTTTTGCCATGGCTGCAGAAAGTCCGACGCAGTGCGCCGCGCTTGGGGCTTTATCCGCGAGCGCTCGTTATGTAATGCGCGCTAAGCTGCAAATGAGAAAGGAGTTAATTTTCAGAGGAATAATTTGCCGACGCGCGGTTAATGAAAATTACTCGAGGAATAGGCGTGGACGTAATTAACGGTGCATCGCCGTATATACGGCGTAACTTCTTTTTAACGGACTAATGAAAATGTGAATTATTCACGCACGCACAATTACAATTTGTCATTTGGTGTCGCGTTGGCGTGCCGAGGCACCGAGCGTGCATCGTATATCGGTAACGGATTGATCAGAGATGCAAACAAAGACTGCTATTATTTGCGCACACGCGCGCATTGGGAATCACAGTAGTGGCATATGACGATTGACAAAGCTTCGTTCAATTCGCCAGGTCGATAATCGCGAGAGCCAAATTCGCGTGCGTCAGATCGTTGCAATTAACACTGGTTACCGTTCGATCGAGGCGCAACTCGTCGACGGACGGCGCGCGAGGTAAACAAGACCGCTTGGAGTTCGTTAATTAAAAAGCCACGCGCTCGTAACTCACGTCGCCGAAGTGTGTACGTGCGCGCGAGTCGGCTAATTTGACGAGAGCTGTAATAAAAACAGGATAAAGCAAATGAAAGCCAAGTGACGCGCGCGATGGATTTTTTTTTCTTATTCCTCCTTCGTTCTCCCGCGAAAGTCGACGCGTTAAAGGAATTTCCCGCGAGCGTCGTCAAAAGGCGTGGATTTCGTGTGCGAATCGCGCGCGCGCTAATCGAAACTCATGGTCCGTGAGTGAGATTGAGCGGAGAGACAATGCGCTAATCGCGTTAATCGGCGATAGATTCTGAAGAGGCAAAAACAGTGTAGCGTAACGATTGAGAATACGACTCTTTGCTTTGTCGAAATTAATCATTGCTCAGTTAAGACGGCATGGAGAATGTAAATCTGCATTAGTGTGATGCAGAGGAATATCGTATTGAAAAATTCACGTTGCCCGTTGCAAGCTAATGATGCGGCTGCAATAAATTGTAAATACATAGCTATATCACGCTTCTTAGTATCGATAGATTGAGAGAGAGAGAGAGAGAGAGAGAGAGAGAAGAATAAAGCTCGTTGAAGCGAGGAATCCCCCGACGTAACCGACTGACGCTAATAGAATTGTCGCACCTTATGCCAGACGTGAAGCACGAAACAATTGTATGATTCATTTCGTTAAAGCAAATCGTGCTATGACTCTACTTGTTTTCTGTTTTTGTTTTTTGCAAGCCTTCAAACTGCGGTCGTTAAAGTACCCCACCATCACGGGTGAGAGTTCTTATGATTGTGTGATCAATAGCCTTCTCTTCCATTTTTTGGCATTTACCATATGCATCGCTGTACTTCTTTGTTTGTCAAGTAGTATAGTTGCACGAATATATTAGATATATATATATAAATATACGTAGTAGTGCATCTTCAATTACTGGTTGATTATAGTTGTTTAATCGTCCATCGGAAAAGAACACAGCTTTTTCATGTTATATACAGTCGTTATTCAGACACATTATTGCTATACCCACAGTATTATGATTTAGTTAAGAAGTTACATTTTTGAAAATTTATTTTTTCCAGTCCTAAATGTGAAATTAGCATTCAAAACGTATTAAAGGTAAACTGACATTGCGAAATAAACTTTTCGAATGTACCTTGTTGAATGAGTAAATAAGTATCATCATTTCTCTGAAAATGTTCTTTTTTGTCGTAAGTGTCAATACACGAGCCTTTATTTTTCTTTTTTATCTTGGATGACTCTCTTTTTCAAACTCCTCTCTTTCTTATTTTAGTTTTGTTGCGCAGAAAATTTCCGTTGTCTTCTCCTAATTTTGCAGTTTTTTATCCGAAGTAACAAAATGTTGACATTTAATTTTTTTTTCTTTTAACAAAAAATGTATCCGTCCGTGTAAATATATAACAATTAAAAAAACCAATAGTAGTAGTGCATAGTTTATATTTGAGGTATCATTAATTTTCATTTTTCTTATAATTAATTTCTTGCATCGATTACATTTTTCCAACTTTTCCTATAATAATTATGACAAACGAAATTATTGGCATTGCTTATACCGAGTTTTCACGAGCTAAACTCATTCACCCGCAGACGAATCTCCACATGTTACCTCAAACAACACACGCATGGACTTCGAAAAAGAAAAATAATACTTCCTCGAAAATGTCTTGAATGTAATAGACAAAAAGTTGAAAACCATTATCCCACACGTATATATTAGAAGGTATGTCTCACCAGCAAGCAGAACATTTCTCGCCAACGAGTCTCTCAACCATTGCCAAATAAAAAAATAATAAAAATAAAGTGCAACGCTCAAGTAAATTGCATTCTGTGTCCTTAGTGCATCCACCACACGCAAACCTTAAGTTACAACTTAGAGCTGGAAATTTTTGGCATACGGGAATTTACGGAGCTTTCGACAAATGGGCATTTAACATTGACGAATATTTCTGTTGCAGTGGCTTCCGCTCGTTGCACGGCAGTGTAAAGCAGCGAGAGCGCAAGAAATTCATCATGTACTCGATATACGCTTGGGGCTGCGCCACCGTAATCACCACTATCACCATGATCATGGACTTGGTGCCCGGCATTCCGGACACCATGATACGGCCGGAGTTCGGCAAGGGTAGCTGCTGGTTCGAAAGTGAGTCTGTCCTTTATTCGCCGTTTCGGTGATGTCGCCGAGCTCGAAATACGGAAGTTTCGCGTGCAGAATTTATCGTCGCTATTGTCCTCCATGTATATAGATATCTAGTTTATATTAACCTCTTGGATAATGACACCATTCTACCTTAATAATTCATATACACTCGTGGAAATGATTAATTCAGATGCTATTTCGTACACGTTCTTTTCATCGTAAAACGTAGTGTTCAAAATTTTGTCCACCGTTAATTTCCCAACGAAATCACGTCGGAACGCGCGATAAATTTGCCGATTACTTAGCGGCGCAGCTGTTAATCTTTTATATCTCTTAGGAAGTTCAAAAGTTTTGTGAAAAGTTAAAGTGAGCTAGCTATGTACTTACTAGAAGCGTACGGATCTTTTGCACGGAGATAGTGTTGGTCATCTTTTCACGACGTATTTTGCGTGGCGATGTATCCTACTGCTAAATTATTTAGTAACAATTGTTTGGTCTCCCTTTGACTTCATTCATATCAATGAAGACATAGTTTTAAAATGTTAACGTGAAATTATTCCTGTAAATTGATATAAATAGCAGCAATGTATCTGAAATTCTTAAGGAGAGATAGATTCATGTAGAATCTTTTGAATCGAAATTTACACGCGCAACTGCTGTACGTACAAGTAACGGTGAGCAAAGCTTAAAAGTTGAATAAAGTAAAAGCATTCAAGCGAATATTTTTAATAGAGCAGTTTTACGTTCTGCTATTTGATTTCCTCGACTTATCGAATATAACTTTGACGACAACATCTCGGTTTTTACCACATTGGCCTTTATCGCGCATTTATTGCAATATAAAGTCAGTGGACCCCAATAGAATGTTCGACACTTGTGAATTTTTTGCAGCTGCGGGTGCAAGAGCCTTGTACTTCTACGGGCCCATGGGATTGACGATCATCTGCAATATATGCTTGTTCATATTGACCGCTGTGAAAATTATCAAGCACAAAAAGGACACGGCGCGTCAGCTGAAAGGCAGCGACAGTAGACGACACGACGACAATAAACAATGGTCAGTCCTAATTGATCTTTCTTCTTCGGAGTAACGTTAGAAAATTGAATTTGCAAAAGCCATCTGGATGAGACACTCGCGCTAAAGAACATTTTATGGCTCGTAAAACGATTTCTCGAGAGCTCAGCCCTCGCCTTATACGATCGCAAAATGGATTATTAAACGAAATCGTGTCATTGGGAATATAGTTCATAAGGTTGGCGCGGCTATTGATCAAATTTTCTTGACGTCGAGGAAACTTTAGACTTAGCTATAAGATCTCGGCAGATATGATTTTCGAGAAAAAGCGCAATGTCTTCAGAAATCGATACAGCCGCGGTTGAAGACAGCTCAACCAATGCTTCATTTGATTTTATGTTTATCGAAATAGCCGCTGAACCAATAAACTTGCGCGCCCATGCTTATACGAGTTTTGCTCATGGTAGAGACTTTTTTTCGGGTACGTCTTTGATTCGCAGAAAGAATATTTGGTATATTATTTATTTTTTTATTGTCTTTTTATAAATCGAAAAAAATCGCATAAAATAAAATATCATACTTTGATTCCTCTTTCCAAAAAATGATTGATAAGACAGAGTCGTTTATATTTGTGGAATAATTTCAATAAGTTAGCAATGGTTACTCTAACGAAATATTTAATCGACACGATTTGCATCATTTATGAGCATTAGTATCAAAAAACTTGAATACCCGATAAGCCTTGGAGCTACAACATGGTCGATTTTCATTATGTGAGAATAGTGGTGGATAAACTGTCAAAAAGATTATTCATGTAATCGCAATAAAAATATGTTTGAAGATTAATTGCGCCTTTGAAATCTACAGGTTCAACCTGTATCTGAAATTGTTCATCGTGATGGGAATCAACTGGTCAATGGAGATAATCTCTTGGATGTTCGAAGACATACTTCCGAAATACGTGTGGTACCTGACCGATTTGACGAACACCCTGCAAGGCGTGATAATTTTTATAATTTTTGTGTGGAAGGACAAAATTCGTCGACTACTCATGAAGCGTTTCGGATGCGATGGCGATGGGCTTTTTCGTAACTCAACATCAAGAAGTGGCTGCGCCACTAGCTCCACCTCAGCACGCACCACTTGCATCACCAGCGGAGCTCCACTCCAAGAAAAAGTCAACCCTTACATCGACTCTTACGCTCGCGGCAAATCCACCGTCACCGACGACAGCGACTGCATCTGAGTTATAAGCGGCTCGCGAAAAACCGTCGGATTTTTCTTGCAAGAGACCCAGATGTGAATATATCTATTCTTTTTCCCTTTAACGATTAGATATGCGATCGTTCATGTAAATAATGACGAAGAATCAAAAAGGATCGAATAACGATTTTACTTTCATTTTTTATTTACTTAAGAACAAGTGTAATTATCGATATTAGCTTGACGTTATTTGTCCGGCAATTTAATTTCTTTTTTATTCGAAACAATTCACGAGAGTATTGCCTTTATGTTTTATTGTTAGTTTTTTTACTGTTAGATTAGTTTTTTAACTTAGCTTAAGAGCTTAAGGGCGTGGCGATAAACTTTCATCAAGAAAAATAAAAATATTTTTTTTATAAACTGCCTATTGTACGTAATTATGCGAATTTCAGAAGATGCGATATACTTTATCTATCTATTTTCATATAGAAAACCAAAAATATTTTAAGACAAATCTTCTGTCTACTAAGTATACATATACATGATTATATCTACTTATCAAAACCTTCGTCTCTCATGAGTAAGAAATAACGTTTTCATTCTCTTTCTTATTAGAAAAAATTAATTTTCAATGTTGAATAATTATCACTGCTTTATCCAAAGGATGTTGCGCAATTTTGCTCTATGTACGACATAGATTGGTAAACAATCTAGCTTTTATACGTCGCAGACAATTCTTTCTGTAGCTTGTGAAACTTGTAAAGTAAATTATAATTTTCACAATTACGTTATTCTTCAAAGAAATATTGTGTTTATAAAAACACATTAGGAACAGTACAAAAAGTAGATTTGGCCTAAATAACAAAACTTGCCTATACGAGTCCGTTTTAAGAAATACATGTAAATCAAACGTAGTGTTATCAATATCTTTTTTTAAATATTGAAATTTTTTCAACATTTTTCGAATCTTTTCAAAACTCTTAGAATTGTTAAAAAATTTCAATGAAACCTATCAATTTGGTGAATTAACAAATCATTGACACAGTGCTATAGGTATGACTAAATATAAATATTTGAAAAATTCATAATGCCATATATATTTTTTATCTCTAAAAGATTTAATTTTATAATAATGTAAAGCACTTAACTCCATAAAAAATTATGTATAAGCAATTTTGGCTATCCGAGGACTTCGAACAATTAAAAGTTGAGATTTACTATAAACTCGAAGCGCTTTAATTTATCACTGTTTTATTTCTAGTCAAATTATCAACCACTTTTTGTAATCAATTTTTCGTTACCTATATATATACATTATAATCGTGACATATGATACTTGTGTGATTATTCATCTTTCTAGTATTTATAAGATATAATTGATTATTATAATTACTGTGAACCCCATGAGTAAAGGATATTTTGGACATACTAAAGTCGAGAATTTTATAATTACTCATGATCGAGTAACCGTTATCAATTATGCTTATTGTGCATTTACAGCAAAGTACAGTCTTCGCTCTATCACGATTTTTTTTTATAATACATTTATTACTGTTAATGTTTAAATGTGTAACATATATAGAAATAGATTTTATAAATTTGTCTTTTATTGTTATCCAATTTCACAAAACTCACTAAAACTAAAAAAATATTCAATCTACGTATTATATTTATTTCTATTTAATAAATTGCTACTTAGATTATGGCAAAAAATTATTTATTAAATCAATGATATTAATAAATAATTTTTAAATTAATTATTCTTCATTATTGCTTAAAAAATTGATCCACAACTTTATTTGTCTTAAAAATGTTTCACAGGGACAAGATCAGTTTCTTAACAAATATAATGTGACATAGTAAGCAACTAAGCAATTTACTGTGTAAAAAGGAAACATTCATTCGAAGCATTTAGCCGCTGCTATAGTTGTTACGTAATCGTGATAAATGGTACTTTTACAATCAAACTTTTGATATATGTTATTATTGTGTGTTATTTTTTATGAAATTTTAATTTTTAGTTTAAATTATTTACTTATAAATCCTCATTTCCAAAATTTGGTCAATGTGGTACATTTAATTACATTAATATCAAACTAACTATTTACAAAAAACTTATAATCAAATATTTAACTGCATACATCTTCTCGGTCAGCACCAACAATGGCGTCGCCATCTTCAATGCTAGCAAAGTTGAGGAAATGTGCAGGTCTGTGTACTTCACTATAGAATTCTCTTGGATTTGCCAATTGAAGTTCATATTTCATGTTGGCGTCGTGTCTTACACCTAAGAGAGGAAAAATTACAAAGAGTATAAGTATTCATGTGAATAATATTGACAGAAATTACTCGAGTAGATATAAATTTGTTTGTCTACTAACCCATGAAATTGTAGTTCCAAGATGATTGATTTGGTACCATAAAGAAACCAAGGAATCTATCAGACAAAAGCATTTGGACTCTTTCATAATGGCTTGGAAGGTAACCTTTCGGGTTATTTCCTTTATCCGTATTTTGCTTTCCCCATTCAAAGCCACTGAAAATAACATTATTTTTAAAATATAACAAAAATTCTTAATTAATATGTATGAAAACAAGATAAAGATTTACGTACCTCGGGGTCAATTTATATGCTGTAAGAGAACATGAACCTGGTGTAAAGCTACAAGTTATTACAATTGTTTTTTCCCCATCCCATGTGGGATTTTCTGCCATTACTCTTGCATGAGTTGATATATCCTGTAAAACGAATTTTTCGGTTAAGCAAACACAAAATTTATTAATAAATATTTTATACATATATTGAAATTTTCTTATATTGAAGTATTACCTGAGGAGATAGTTGAGGTAATTCATTTGGTTGGGTATGTATCCATCCCAATGGTTCCATTTCTTTAAGATACTGATGGTTAGGTAACATATTTGGTAGATGTACAGTTTGATGAGTACCCCATTGAGGTGGCATCACTATACATCTGATTTCTTTTACTTGAGGATTATCAGGTGGACTGACTCCATATAAGTAACCCGCAATCTGGAAAGTAAGTTAAAATTGCAGTTAATTAAACACAGAAAATAAAATAAATTAAATATAGATATCAAAATATTCTCTTTTTACCTGTGCACGTAAATCTGATATGGTGACGAATTTTTTAAGAATGTTTTTAGGCAAGATATATGTAAAGCCAGTTTCTTTAATGTCGTCGGAAGATACGTAGATGTGATTAGTTCGAAGGTGTAAGTTTGTAGCAGAAATAGCACGAATACGCCATTCGGTCTTAGAAGCAAACGACTGAGTCTCATAGTTTGACGTGGTGGCTGTGATGATTTCATCACCATGTTTGTTGACTGTTCTTGTTGTCGTGGCTGTAAGTTGTGACTGTTCTTTTGTTTGCTTTTCAATCTCGGCGATTTGTTGACGTTGAGCTGATGGAGCGCTGATCTCCATACCAAGAATGATGTCACGAATTTCAGATTGTGTAAGCGAAGCAACATTTACGTTATTCTTTTTGCCGTAATCAGCTAAAATTAGATCCTTCAACTGTACTTCAACTTTCACCCACTCATCATCACTAAGAGATGGCCAAATATGATGGGGTTCTGTGATCGTAGTCTTGTCAGGCTTTAGTACAACCTTTGTTCTCTCAGTATTGACATGAAGAGCTCGAAGAATAAGAATTAAACGCGAGAAGGCGGTATAAGATGAGATAGTCTTTAACCAATCGTCGTAAAGATTGAACAGGACCATTTGTGGTTCAGTAGCTTTCAAAATCAAATCACCAAACTTCTCAACCTTTAAGCAAGCTTGGAATGGTAATTGTAACTCAGATCCCTTGATAACGATATTGGGGAAGTCAAGAAGATGGACCTCAAGAGGATCCAACATACCCTTTCTTGTTACAATAATCTGTTTAGGCTGCTCTTCAACGGGTAATGATCGAATCAAAGCTGCAACTTCTTCAGCAGTCTTCCATTTGGCCAACTGACCCAAACGTTTTTGACCTGCCCACACTGACGTGTGAATGATTTTTAAGAAGAGTTGACCAGTTCGAGGATTAAATATGAAAATAGCTCCGTTGATGGGCTTTGTCGTCAAGTTACCCTCGAAGGTCTTGTGAATAGTGACGCGGTATACATTCGTGTCGTCAACGAACCAGATGATTTGGTTACAGAACAACTCTCCATAATTTTGTGACGATAAGTATGGCTCGGTAGGTTCTGAAGAGTAAAGTTGCAGAGCTTTTCTTATACGTTCTCGAAGTACATACAACGCAGGATTTGCCTTCATGATCTTCGCCATGGCTTGTTGAATGAGAGGCTTACAACCAGGGAACCAATTTCCATAAGCACTGTGCAGATTATAAGCCAGATCAATGGCTATCAGGAGACCAGTTGGAGACGGGTAGATAGACATGTTGTCGGTAGTATAATCTAAGAACTTAGCTCGAGCATAACGTTCGATATCGTGAGAATCGTAGTCACCCCATCTGAGCTGTACATCGATCCAATATTTTTGCGTAGTTGTATTATCCATAACATCCTTAGAATCAGCGAGAAGAGATGGCCGTGAGACATTCCACTTATAGGCAGAGAAGAGAAGGATATCGGCGCAAGAGGAGTTCATCTTGTAAGACTTTCGAGGATGAATGGTTTCTTTTTGGACAGTTTCAATTTCAAGAGCATCGAGCTCTTGATCAAATACTTGACATAAATCCATGACAATGGACTCGTGAACTTTTTGCCACAAATGAGCACGGAAGATTTGAATGAGTGAAATTTTCAGCGTTGGAATTTTACCGTGCATGAAAATTCCTGTCAAGTCAAGTTGCACCTAAAAAATATGAAAAATATTGAATATACTGTCAAAAATAAAAGACGTTTACTTGTGTGAAAATAATCCTTTTTAAAAACTCACCTGGAAACCAACATAGACATTGGCTCTATTAATAGTTGGTGACCACCATAACGTGAAACGACGATTGGGAATTTGGTTCAAACCGGATCTTTGAGCGTTGGTGAGTTTTTTGTATTTCATAGACTCTTCAAATCCTGAAGCTTTCTCCCAGAAAAGACCTTCCCATGTTGGGAAGTAAGTGCCCTTAAACAAGGTATGTTCCAAGATACCTTCTACTCCACCAAGTGCTTGAATCATGTCAGTTCTGTAGTTATTCAAATTCCACAGTTTACCATCGTGACGCTGATGAGTCCACCAGAATGGATTTTGTTTAAGAACCTATAAAATTTGTATTTGTTAGTATGATTTATGCTACCCTTGATTGTTTTATTTTATTTTACTATTGTTTTCAAAGTAAATTTATTAAACTTTGATAATTCAGTTAGCGTTTGATCCTACTACAGTACTTGGTGTCTCGTCTCAGACAATTCACCATAGATATTGCAGTAGTCAACCCACATTGATGGTTGATTTCAGGACCCCTACGCAATTCATCATTATATTACTTTAATAATTAAATCTTTTAATTTTTCGAAATTCAATCGTATATATTGCTTCAAAGAAATAATAACATAATAAAACTTATTAATAAAATAATACACACCTGGTACTGTTTGAATTCAGTTCTAATTCTCCAGCCCTTATCGTAGGCCAATGTATGCCTATCTTTCTGGAAAAGTGTATTAATTCTGGGAATACCTCTATCCCAGCTGTCCTCAAGATCTTCCAAGGTCAATCTGCGGTTCTGAGCATTAGCTTCTTGCCTTTTCAAAGCATATTCTGCCCAAACTCTCTGCGAATCAATAAATTCCGACTCCCACGGTTGGATGTATCGGTACAAGTTAGGAATCAGTTGGTCTTCGTCATGACTCATACCAGAACGGAAATGTGTGATGCCAACATCGGTTTGCTTAGACCATCTGAGATCCGATTGAGGAATAAGTACGTGACCCATAGACAACATACCTAATCCACCCAATTCCTTTGGCGTGTAAAATACAACTGGAGGGAATCTCGAAGGCATTTTCGAGTTCAGACCGATTTTAATACGAGTCTGGATTTTGTTTTCACACTTAACAAGTAAATCAAGCAGCTCTTGAGTGTTAACTACAGATTCACGGAAGTACGTCATTAAACCAATCAAAGCGGTGTTCCATTTGTTGACAATTTTGGTGAAAGTAGTAGATCCTGAAGCCATGAGGATTTGTCTAACGCGGTTGTGGAACTTTTGCAAGCTTTCGTCGTCGACTCGTAAAAAGCATTGAGCTGTTCTTTCTTTTGTACCTTCATTTTGCAAGTTCCAAACACCATCCTTGTGTGTGAATTCTTCATGAGTCGTCCTACATTTAGGTAAAATACGACACTCAAATCCGCTCATGTTGAACAACAAGTTTGGATTATCTTTACTGTAGACACTGACAAAGCTGTTCTCCCATTGAACAGTGGTAGTGGATCGTGGCAAGCGATTTTTGATATCCCAGAAAACGGCGCGACCAAGATTGACGTCGTGCTTCATCAAACGCATACGCGCATCACGAGGCCAGCACTTCTTGTTGTTATAACCGACAATGTTTTCGTTATTAGGATCGGGATGCTCAGTCAAATATCGTTGAATCAAATCACGAGCCTCGTCTGCTGTGAAGCGGAGAAACAGGTGAATCTTGTCGACATAGCGGCAATACAGACGGATGGGATGAGCTGTTTCTGTAGCAACATCCTGTGAAAAAAAATATTTTAATCTTACATTCGTTGAATCTTAATTGAATCTTTGCAAATTCAATTAAAAATAATTAATTGAAGTAAAATGTTGTCATTTCGGAAACTGCGTAAGATACAAACACTTACGCAGGGCAAAGGGGACTTTTTATTTACGAGCTTTGATAGGTCAATATTTTATTTAAAAAATATCGATATCCTGAAACTCGGTGTTCTGAACAAAGTGAAGTTAAAATTGAAAAACATCAATTTAATAATTTACTTTCAATATGAGTTACTGATTTACCTAAACTGAAAAGTAATTATAAATATAATTTACCTGGAAACTGAGGAAGTCATTGGGCATCTGTGGTGGACCAGCCATCTCGCTAGCTCGCTGCAAACCCAGCACCAAAAGATCTAATACAAGTCCATAATACTGAGCGATGAACGAAGCAAACTGTAAACCTCTGATAATACCGTAACTGTTGGTATGGTTCATGTCTTTGTAGTTGATAACCACGTTATTCTTAGCAGTCATGTAATCGGCAATGTTGTGATCGACGATCAATCGAAGAAGACGATTGAGCAGTGTTAAATCAATCTTTTCATAAAGCTTTTCAAATTTAGACTCAAGCAAAACGTTACATTCCCCTTCACTAACATCCCAAACATCTTGTAGATTGTTGATACCTTGACACCATTTGTAAACTAGAAGTGGAGGTGGTTCAGTGTCTCCAGGTTTGACCCATGGTGGAAAGAGTTTACGTTTGTCTGCTTCGTACCATAAATACTGATCTAAATAAGCATCTGTTATTTTCTCAAGTGGCTCTACGTCATAAACGGGGATGAGATGACTATAGAGGTCCATGAATTCAATACCAACCTAAAAAATCATATTTTTTCCTATATTTCTCATTATAGATTAAAAAATAAACTATATAGAGAAAAATAATATGTTATAATAACCAGTATTATTAACTAAAAAATTGCACTAATTTTAATTTTATTGAGTGAACCTAAAATATAAGATTCAAAGTAAAATTTGGATTATGATCTTACTTCTTTGAAGGCTCTTTGAGTTAGAAGGTGACGCTTGATTCTTGACAAAGCTTCGTGAGGATTATCATAAGCCTGCTCAATTAAACCAAGTTCTTCTCTTTGACTTTGATTCAATCTTGATCTTACGCTATAAGCTTCCTTCAATCTTTCAAGAGCTAAAATCAACAGTTTCGTGTCATGTTTGTACGATAGTGGAGGGAAGGGGATTGGTGCAAATCGACGAGATTCCAACCAGTGCACAGTGGTCGTGTAAATAGCAACAGCTTCCTCGGGAGAGATATAGGGTCCATCCTAAAACAGACAAAAAACAAAATATCCAAGTTTAAAATCAATAATTGATACTAATAATCGACGAGTGAAATATTATTCATTACTTTGAGGTAATTGTGCTGACGTTCTTGCTCTGCTTTCAGATACAATCGAGTTAAACGTCCTAAATTCTTTTTACACACTGTCTTGTCAACGGTGGCACCACGACGGATACGCTCACGATTATAATGAGCAGTATTAGTCCACCAGTCAGCCTTCATTTTCACGTAACGAAGAATCATGTTTTCAATCGGTATTGGTAGTCCGGGAACCTATAAAGAATATAACGATTTTTCTATAAATAAACCAAAATAATAATATTGGATAAGCATTTTTCGTAAATATTATTTACATATTGGGCAACAACATTTATTCAATCTTACCTTCCAAGGAATATTAGCTTTCCAACATCTCCAGGCTTCACTCAGATGTTGTAAAATCGTCCTCGCTTTATTTTGTTTGATACCTTCAGGCATCATATCGACGATGTCGTGCATAACAGAAGCTCTTAACTCCAAGTCGAAGTGAGATTCTACTCTCTGCTTAGTTACAGTTTTGGCTACTCCTTTTGAATGACGTCCCTCGAACTGCCTTGAGAGCAAGTTACCCAGCCATCGTTCAAGTAATGGAGTGATTCCTCGCATGAAGAACAACCATACTCGCCAACCAGGCGCCCAGAAACCGCAGCCTGGCCCTTTCCCGACTGGACCCTATGAAAAATAGAATAGATCTATAGAGCTAAACTTAATGTGATTTCTATAACTGAATTAGTCTACATAGAAAAGAAAAGACAATGTATATTATGGCGAAACTTACAGTATTGAAACGATAGTAGATCAAATGCTTCAAGTCTTTGCACATTCTAATTTGTCTCATCAATTTATACTTATATCGATACATTCCAGTCAATTGCCCAACGTGAGCAAAAATATATTGTAACCCATCAGCGAGTTGGAAAGCGTCCACATTGTTTAAACGATATTGAACATGAGAGTCAATGATCAACTTCGTCAATCGGAGAATTTCACGACATAAGTGGAAAGCTGAAAAAAAAAAACGATTACATCTCAAATAATTTAATAGTGTTATTTTTTCTCAAATAGAATTCAATCACAGTAAAGGCTTATCTTCTTGTCGGAAATTGCATTCAATATTGCAACACTAATGCAAGGCAAAAAGAACCTTATTATCTCGAGTTATGACAGATAAAAACTTTATTTAATAAAGTATCAAAATTCTCACATCAACAGTAAATAGATAATAAAAAATTGATACAAACCATTTCCGAAACGTGATTTTTTTCTCTCTTTGGTTGTCAAAGTTTTACTGGGCTTTAGGTTGAAATTATAATCCAAGTGGAGATAGTTCAAATTCTTTCTATGAATAAGTAGGTTCAACATATTGTAACCTTGTCGACAAACTTGTAATCCAGCTTCAACCCAGTCAAGCGTCGTTGTTTGGAAGAACTTGGTCGATTTGAATGATCGGAATAAATATCGTTTTTTTTGTGGCTTTGGATGTCTATGCTTCAAAGCATTCAAAACAAAGTACTTTAATAGCTTCTGGTAGCTGACTCGAACTTTTACTGGTTGACCAGGTGGACAGTGCTCCCTGTACCATGGTTTGACAAGTGGAATATCGATGGCTCGTCTCGTTCTTCCTGATCGCGTGTTGAATGGTCTTGGTGCCCATAATAAAGCAATGCCGTTAGCTGTATTATCAGTGTAAAGTGGTCTTTCAGGCAAGAAGGGCTGAACTTCTTCAGCTAGGATGAAGTCTTCCTCATCTTCGATGACGGGTTCTTGCGTCTAACATAAAACACTAGCGTCATTTTTGGAAACTTTAATTTATACAAAAAAATTACAGAAATGTCTTAAACCTTCAATGAATTTCGGTGAGAAATAGGATTGATCAAGGGATCAAAGTAGAAGGCTGGGAGATCTGGATCTTCCGTCTTGATGTATACCACATTGGGAGCGTGATACCTAAAATATAAATGATTTGATCAATTTTAGTTTAAATAAACACTGACATTTTATTTCAATGAATGAAATTGTAGGTAGGGTCAGCGGTTTCCTTTTCACCTTTACAAAGGATACGAATAACTACTACCAATTTACTTTACCACACTGCTAGTAAGATTTAATAAGCTTATAATAAAATCTTAAAAAAAAGTGTGGTTCATTCTTGAAACAATAAAAAGTGCAAATATTTGACTTACCATGATAAATGCACGTAATGCGGCATGTTATTGTATAAATACGGAAAAGCGATTCTGTACTCAGTACGGATCGGTTGTCTAATGATAATTTTGTTAATGTCATTGAATTCATTCCAGTCTTCATCAGCAGCACTGAAATCTTTTACCAAAGGTTCGAACTTGGGACCTCCAGGAATAGCCATATTCAGTGCTTTTGCGGTAAAGAATGATTTAGGGTCAAATAGGTAAAAGTAATTGTGATCAACTAAATCTGTTAGTAATGGGTTTGCAAGACGATACAGTGCCGCCATCATAGGTAAAGCTAAATTCCATTTCCTATATGTGGGCCCATTTACATACCTATAAATGAAACACACTTAATCAATCAAAAGCTTATCCAATATTTTAAGATATTTTATTTTGATATTTTAAAAATAAAAAATTACTTTATTTAAAATATTTATATGTTTTAATTGCCATAAATATTAAAACAAATACAAGTTAAAAATAACCTAACTTACTTTGTTCCTACAAGTGGTTTATGTTCATAAAACCAAGCAGCTACTGCAGCATCTTCTTCAGAATCCATATCAACTTGAATAGCTTCTAAAGGTTCTACATCTAACACATTATCAGCATAATCTAGTGGAGGTTCTTCATCATCAAATGGTGGAAACCTCATTCTTTTGAAATGTCTACGATCACGTTTTTCTCTCCTCATCATAACCCACATGGTACTAAAAAATCGAAGTTGTATTTTATTATTGAGATCAAATAATTAGAGTATATCAGAAATAATAGACTGTGTTGTTTACCCCCATTGTGCAATGTAAATTGGTTCTACAACCCATGGAATTTCATTAACAAATGTAATGGCACCAGTGATATGGTAAAGTGCTTTAACATCTCTGATCTGCTCCCAAGGCATGGGCATATTTTCAAGCAGTTTCATCACAGCATGAGGCATATATTTAAGAGCTCTACAGGAGGAATAAAATTTTTAATTTAATAATTTCAAACATCAAAATATAAAGCATGAACTTTAGAGTAGAAAAAATTAAGATCTCACCCTAAGTAGACACGTTTATCATGTCTGTATTTACGGCTACTCATGTCTCCATGGTCTCTGATAATCTTGCGAATATGTTCAGGTGGCATGTCTTCCTTTTGAGCATCAACAAAGCCAAACTTGCGCTTTTCAGCAAAACGTTTGGACTCCAACTGCTGCCATTTTTGTGCTGTAAAAAAATAAGAATTTATTAGTTTCTAGAAAATGTTGATACTTATAGCCTTACGATAAATTCACTTAATTTACCTTTCTCCTGTAGCTTGTCTTCAGATAAAATATCAGGCTGCTTTGGTGCTTGAGGCAAAGGTGGTACAGTTCCCATAGCTTGAGCCATATGTGCCTGATGAGCAGCTTGAGCTTGTGCTGCTGCAGCTTGAGCATGAGCTGCTTGAGCAGCTGCCAGCTGGGCATGAGCCTGCTGTTGAGCCATCATCTGGGCCCAAGGATTTGGGCCCAGTAAATACGGAGGTATAGACATTTTGTTGATAAATGTCTAAGAACCTAGAAGAAATGCCAATGCTAGTGATTTATTTTTAATACAATTAAAACTAAACTAAGAGATTTACTTTTTGAAGTGAATTTCTGTTTTCAAAGTTCCAAATACCTTATAAACATAAGTAACAATCTTGTTTGATTTTTGTTTAAAATAATTTATTTCAACTTAAAATATATCTTACTTTTAGCAGTTAACAAAAATTTTACAAATAAATTTCAATAGTAAAGTTTTTATTTTGTGCAATTCCATACTGAACTATGTATTCTATTAAACGAACACGTAATCAAATATCACCGACTCCTGATATAGACGCTTGGCTATTGATTTACATTTTTAACAAATGATGGGAAAAAAATACTGAGTTAATATATAGACTAATATATTATTCTAAAAAGTTATTTCAAATAATGCTAGATTCTTTTCAATAACTTTCTTATATAAAAAAAGCATTTACGTTGCGATTGCATGCGTTCTAACCACCGTTAGGGTTAGAAATCGTATTTAAATGGTACAAAATTCTCATAAATACTGTAAAATTAATATACCTTTTATGTAAAATCGATGTGTCACTCTTTATGACATGTTCATAACGTGGAAAACCTAGAGATATTTTTGAATTAATCAGCAAATAATAACATTTGCGATGCTTCAAAAATTAATACGCGGTTCCGGACTCACGAGTCAGCAATAAGAGAAGCCAAGATGGCGGTATAGTAAAGCGAAGAAATACAGGCAACTTGAAAAAGTTAAATTAAAAGACCAACAAAAGACAATTAAATAAATTACACAATTTAAAAATTAAGAAACAGCGCAAAAAATAACATAATTGAATTGACGTAATGGCATTTGTTATTTAGTTTATCTTATCGACATTGCTATGATAATATAAAAATTAAATGTTTGAAAGTAAATAAATATCCTATAATAACTTAAGAAGGCCCATGAAGACCTGTAATAAGGGAAATTCTTATCGAAAAAGACTGCAATTACGAAAAATAGTCAAGCTTGATACGGGCTAGACATAGCAATTGTATTGTAGAATATTAAAAAAGTCGCTTTATCATTATAGTTTCTCGGCATATATACAAATATAGTGTTGCATCAGTGCCAGTATAGTGGCATACTGGCATTAGCTTATTTCAATTTCACAATTTCCTCTACAAGTTGGTAGTATAATGCGCGAGGCTCGTTGACCACGCATGCGCAGAAGACAATTTCAAGCACTGCTACACGGAAAGCATATATTTTCTAACAATTATAAAGAAAACTATAAATCTTGGATAATTTTTTGATTGTGATGAAAATTCACAAATTAAACTTGAACATTTTTGTCAACAAAAAATGCTTAAAGCAAAATATTTATCGAGTTACAACGCTTTGAATTTTCCAAAATTTAACAATTTTTTTATAAAATAATAAATTTTCAAATATTTTGAATATTTATCATAAAAGTGCAAATTCAGCTCTACAATTTGATATATTGTAAATTTCTACAACTTACATGCTGAAAGATAGAACTGAATTGGTAGGTGAATGCGGCAGCGAAGACAAAAAATGTTAGAAAAACTTATCGTCTGCTACGAGTTTACGCGGGTTACAGTTGCGGCCGTGTTGGCCTCGGCCAGTCGTTATCAATCGTCTTTCGTCGTCTGAAATAATTTACTCAAATATTCTAGACAAGTTAATAAAGTATTGAACGCACATTCGTGCTATAACACAAGATCTCATTCTACTAGTGTTTTGTCAATTATAAAGCAGTACTTGCAAATATTTCGTCGTAATGTTTTTCTATACTCTTTTTGGAGGCTACGTGCTCACGTCTTTGCTACTTTTTAAATACCCTACTCTAATGCACAAAAAGAAGAAAATAAAATTTATCTGTCAACATATTAGCCATAGAGGAGGTAAGTACACACTGTTGAGTTTTCCCCTGATTTTATTACTTCCTCGCGTTCATATCAGAAAACTTATCAACGTTTCCAATTTTACAGGAGCTGGTGAGAATTACGAAAATACAATGTATGCTTTTAAAAGGTTTGTTTTAACTCTCTATTCTATAATTTATAAATAGCAGTCAATTGCAGCTTTAAGAGTGATTTGTGATACTCAATAATTAATGCATTTTATATTTAAAAATCCGTGAATTTTAATGCTAGTATATAAAATAAAGTAATTTTGCAGATCAGCTGCTATAGGTACTGAAATGTTGGAACTAGATTGTCATTTGACTAAAGATGGACAAGTTGTAGTTTCTCATGATCAGAATCTTTTGAGAACTACTGGTGTCAATGTCAATATTTCTGAAATAGATTTTAAAGATCTTCCCTTATTAAAAACAAGGATTCCAATTGATTTTGATCCTGGTAATAATTATTTATTTAGATAAGAAAATAAATCAAATGAAATAATTATTACCAAGGTAATAATCTGATACCTTGTATTTTAGGAGTAGAATTTCATGGTTCAGACAATATAAATGAAAGAAAAATAGCACTACTACAAGAAGTTTTTGATACCTTTCCCAAAATGCCTATAAATATTGACATTAAGGTAAACAATGATGATCTTATACGTAAGGTATCAGAATTAATCAAATTGTATAACAGAGAGGAATTAACTGTTTGGGGAAACTTTAGTGATGTTGTGACTAAGAAATGTTATGATATGGTTAGTTATTTATAACATATTGTGAGAATATAGCAATCATTAGTTAATTAAAATTTTGATATTATAAATCAATTTTCAGAATCCAAATGTCAATCTTTTTTTTGCAATGAAAAGAGTTGTATTGTTAATAATTCTTATGTACACTGGTCTTCTACCATTTGTGCCTATCAGGGAAACTCATCTTGAAATATTCCTTCCATGCATCTATGCAAGGTAAAAATGTAGGTCCAGGAGAGCTTTTATTAATTGAATTCTCCTCTATTCATTACCTTGATAAATCCTTGTTGGTATTTATTCAATAAATGATATTGTATTTCTTTCAAAATTAAATGGATCATCATAAATTTTCATTTTAGAAAAAAAGGTTATCAAGTACCAACATTTCTCCCAGTGGATAAGCTTTTTCTTGGATGCATGAATGTATTACTAATAAGACCATGTTTATTCAATCATCTAAAAGCACGTGGAATACATGTAAGTTACTTATATAATTTTGTGATGTATTCTTTAAGAAATACCAATTTTTTTATTTACTAGGTTTATTTATGGGTGCTTAATAGTGATGAAGACTTTAAAACAGCCTTCGATCTTGGAGTGACAGGGGTTATGACTGATTATCCAACAAAATTGAAATTATTTCTTGCAAGAAATACAATCAAGTGAATTGTGAAAAACTGTTTATCATGCAGTAATTTAAACTAATTATTTATAACTTCCAAGGCTCATAATTTAATTACGCACAAGCAGCATTTTACCTAGTCATTGACTAAATGTACAGAGAGCTTATAATATTAACCATAAGTTATTGCCATAATTTATTTATAAGATTTAGTTGTATTAACAAAAAGTGACAATTAATTTTTGTTCTTATGATTTTTGTTATCTTTATATTTAATGTGATTAAGAATATAGTTGAGTAAAGAACGTTCTTTCTTGACATCTTACCATGCTCCAAAAAATATTGTTTCTTATTTAAAAATTGCTTAAGACGTTGTTTGGGGACTAATATTTGTTGCTGAAACATTGTTTAGTGATAATAGATTCTCAACTGGAACTGTCTGTAGATAAACACTTTATTGTAATTTATATTTTAATTATTAATATTTGTAGTGAAACATAATGCCGAAGAATTTGTGATAAGGTGGTGTTAACACCTTTTAGAATCAATTAATTGTTGAATTGATAGAACAGATTAGTTTAGGATTTTATTAAACTGTATGATAAAATGTATGTAATTATAGGAATATCAATTCCAAATTTCCAGTAATTATATTTATCTTAATGTTAAGTTAATGTATCTGAAGGAAAGTATTTTTTTCCTTGTTATGTTTGGTTCTTTCACTACTTTCATGTGATAAAAAAAACATGAAGCTTTGCATAACCTGCAATGAAACAATAAACAAGTGTATAACAGCATTCAAACAATAATGTGTATTTCATGTAAAAAATAATATAAATTTTTAGAAGGGAAACTTTATAAAGTAAAGGTACCGGATAGTATGTATAAAGAAAAGATTTTCATATAAGCTTAAAAATGTGTTTTATTTATAAAATGTTAAACTGTATAAAAATTAAATTACACTTTTTGCAAATTAAATAAAATTTATAATGTATTATTTTAGTTTATCATGTTACAACTTTATAAATACAAATATAAAATTAATTGTGAAAAAACACAAGCTACGAGATTCTTATTTCATTTTAAATATTTGAATATTATTTATAATATTAATAGAAAGTCAGTACATCCTCAATTTTCCAATTTTAAGTATTTTAGAGATATTTATCATGTACTTACGGTACTAACTTAATAAATATTTCAGTATAAAGATATTTTTTATGAAATCAATTGCAACACATGATTAGGAAAATTATAATTTTAATTAGCTAGTACAATGCAATTTTTTTACACATAATTTATATATCAGTAATTAATAAATCTGTAGTTAGTCTAAACTTTTCCAAATTTCACAAAGCTTTTAAGCTTTTTAAATTATATTACATTTGATAAATGCATAAACTTTGAATTAATTTTTAACTAAATAGTAAACTCTGTCTTTCAAAATAAATACTTTGCGGCATTATAAATTGATATCCTGAATGTGTTGCATTCACATTCATATAACATAAAACTTACAACATTTTTAGAATTCACTTTTGAGATTATAGTCTTTACATCTATGGTAATATTTTTTTTTTTTGATACCGTTTTCTTTATTGTTACCGTTTTCTGTATTACCATTTTTCACTTCATAGTACCAGAAAATTTTACCTTTACAATAGACACAAGGCTTATCATCTGCTGGATGAGATTTGTTGAAATGTTGCTGTATGTTAATATAATTACCAATAAATTTTTCTTTACAGTTATCACAATATACAAAAGTTGGATGAAATCTTTCATGAGTAGCATCCGTGTATGTTCTGCTTACATCTGAATCATGATGAGGTGTTTGGTCGTTGTCAAAAGTAGATGGTTTACCATTAGTAGCCATTTTACACCTAGTTATTTCCAATAATAAAATATTAGAAGTATATGTGAATTAAATGTTTGTAAAGTCGAAAATTGTCCGTTACTATTTGTTTTAATGTTAAAACGTTAGATACTATCTTTAAATACTAATTAAATTTTTTTCGTTTCTGGATAATTGTATTATTTAATTTCTAAGTGCATTTATAAAAAATAATGTAGGATATGAGTACAATGCACATGGATACCTCTATTCTGTTCCGTTGACAGGTTGACTGTTCTGTTTTGGTTCTGGTTCTGTTGTGTTGTGTTCTGCGTTTTACCGCCGATATCTGCCAATATTGGCGCCCTCTACGGACGTTTACAGAACGATTGTGACAAGTGACTTTCACAATAATTATTTATCATTAGTATTAATATTTTTCGGAAAATAAAGTTGGCTCAATTAAGATTAGCCAAGGTACAGTTTTTTCAGATATTTATTTTTTGAAGATAACAATTTTTTTTCAAGATATCGCCATTGAAAGATTCCTTAATTGTCATATTAATCATAATTTTTTTCCTAATGAACCATAAGGGAGCAGTTTGATTTATTAGCATATTTGGAGGGTGCAGATAGAGATATTTCGACTGGTATTTTTTTTTTAATAACATTCCGGCTAGGTCTAAAAAGTTAGCACCCAGAATCCTTTTTTTTAAGATAATCGATATAAACTAATCATACCGTTAGATATTTCGTCAAGATAGCAACAACTTTTCTCTTTGCTATTTGTTGGTTTGTCCACTGGAAATCATTTAAAATTAATAAAATAAGTCTTGGGTGCCGGCCTTAGCACCCAAACCAAAGTTGCGGTAAAACCTAGAAAAAGTTGATTAAAAAAAATTCATAAGTAAACCGATCGTTAGTTCGTCTTACGAATTAACGGCACCCATAATAAAATCATGAATAATTTGATTGTTTAAGCAATTAAAAATAAAAAAACTGAACACACACACACACACACACTCACTCACATGTTCATATAACATTTCCATTGTTTTAAATATATTTCTCTTATACAACATCACTGCAACATTCGATTATCTATACATATGCGAATAATATCATCATATCTTATAACAAAAAAGTAGATCTCAAATAAACGTCGCATATTGAAAATAATTTTCAGTAGCTCTTGAAAAATATAGAAAATAAAGTGATTTTTTGTATCGATCGAACGGACTGACAGCACAGCCTGTTGATGCGTTAGTTTTACTTATTTGAATTTCAAGCGCAATGAATTTATATTTTGAAGAATGTGATATATCTATAGCTAGAAGGGAAAGGCATGCGCGTCGGAGCGCATGCGTAATTGGATGTGAGATGTGTCTCAGGAAAAGGTTTGGCGCGGTGTGAGGTAGCCAGGCTCACACTCAGCGGTCGGTAAGGAAGAAAGCGTTTCGTCCCGATGCTACCGGCTGGACTCGTCAGTGAGGCTTGACGGCCGGTAACATCTGCCTCATACGCTCGAAGTGTGTGAGTCGCCATGCAGACTTATATATTCAACGAGCGTATGTCTTGAATAGAAAATTTTTTATTGGCTTAACTGTATACATCATATGAGCCACAACACCACAGCGTATGTCTTGCCGCTCGTGGCTGACCGATGCCATCTCGATGGGGATGGTCGAACCATGGGAACGCCACAGCACTCCCCCCTTAGTGACGAGGCGGGGGCTCGAGTCACGATAAGAGAAGAGGAGCGGGCAAGAGAGAGAAAGATTTGAAGGCAGATGAGGACGGGTGATAGTAGAGAAGGAACAACCGTGCGGGAGGGGATGTGCGAGCCGCGTTGCGTGGGCTTCTCCGTTGGACATCCTGCTCGGTGATAGCTCCCACGATAGGTGGCGGTGAGCGATACGCCCTAAGAAGGTTGGAGGTGTTCCTGCGAGGCCTAGTGGGCCAGCAAGCTCTACTCAGATCAGAAGGTTTGATTGTTACGTGATCATATCACGGTAGGGGTCACCACTATAGCTAGAAGGTTTCGTTTCGTTTCGTTTTAATGGCTGTGGGTACCTAAGGACTCCGATGCGCCACAATTCAAATTTGAGAGAAAAATTTGAAATTTAAAAGAATTTTAAAGTTTTTATTGGTAAAAAGGGTAGGAGAAGAAGAGTAGGGAGGGTGTATGAAATATTTTATAAAGTATATGTGTAGGTAGGGTATAGTAAAGGTTGATTTTAGTTGTCGGTAAAATAGGTGTTTTGATTTTGTGGTATAGTAGTGTGGATGTAGAGTTAAGTTTGGTATATAAAATGATTTTAGAGAAAGTAGAGTTATATAAATAAGTTGCATTGTTTTAAAAAGTCTGTTATAAATTTGGATGTTATTTCATTCGGGTTTGTTAATATTTCCTCGATGGATGTTGGGGGTTGTTTTTTCTTCTTTTCATAGTATTTTTTTAATTTAATTTTTAATGTGTATCTTTGTAGGTGGTAATTGGGGCAGTCCCATACAATATGATTTGCGTCTTGTGAGGTATATCCGCATGGGCACGAAGGGGAATTGGTCATATTTTTCCTATGTAAGCTGGCAGCTAGATTATAATGATTAGATCGGATTCTTATAATTGTTGTTAAATGTCTTCTTGGATAGTTTATTTTGGAGAACCATGGTCTAGGATTTTCTTTTTGAAAGTAGTATTTAAAGTAATGGGAGCCTTTTTGTTGGCTTTGGTTTGTAATAAATTCATTATGTGATTTTTTATGGTTGTGATTTATTTGTTCTAGAAAGTCTGTATAGTGAAGCTGGGTGATTAGATTTGTTCCTTTTTGAATGGCTTCTTTTGCTAATAAATCTACTGTATCGTTGTAGGGGATATTAGTATGAGATGGTATCCAGATAAGTATTATTTGAATACCTAAAAGTTCACATTCATGTAGGAGGGATTTGATATCAAGAATTATATGTGATGTGTTTTTTGATTTAATGGGTGAGTAATTGGAGATGGCTAATAAGACGCTGAGGGAGTCAGAGAAGATATATGTTTTATTTGGTTTTATTTTTTTAATTTCATATATAGTTAGGAAGATTGCTAGTGCTTCGAGAGTAAAGATGGAAGCTGGAAGTGAGGTTTTATATTGAAGCTTTAAATTTGTTGTTGGGCTATAGATGGCAAGGCCAGAGAATGAAGAGGTTTTAATTTTAGAGGCATCAGTGAAAAAAGTTAGATTAGAATTTATTTCGGTATTAAATAATTTGTTGAATTCTTGCGGAGGATTGTTTGAGGATTTTATATTTTTTCCAGAGATTGTATCAATGAGATTTTTTTTTATGGTAGCGTTATAGTTATAATCGAAAGAGATAGGGTGTGCATGGGTTGTAATTTTATTAGCTGTTAAATTTGTTATATTTCTCCATGTTTCTATTGGGATAAAAGTTTTTTGTATTTTAAATTTGTCTTTTTGTTTTAGATCGTGGTCTAAATTTTTTAGATTGATTAAGATTGGTGAGTTTTGAGATGATATTAGTTTTAGTATGAATTTATCAGCTAGATGTTGAAGTCTTTCTTTGATGTAGAAAATTTTGGATTCGGCATGTAGGACATTTATTGGTGTAGAAATTCTACATCCTAGTGATAGTCTTATTCCACTGTTTTGAATTTTTTGTATTTTCTTAAGAAGAGTTGAGTTATTTATGTGTGTTAGATATAGGCTGTATTCTATGGTGCTTCTAATAATAGCTGAGTAAATTCTTAGTAATATTTGTGGGTGGCTGCCCCACCATGTTCCTCTAAGTACTTTAATTATGTTTAGTAGTTTTAAACTTTTTCCTATTATGTAGTTTGCGTGATCATTCCAATGAAGATTGTAGTCAATATATAGTCCTAAGTATTTGACTTTTTTTGATGGGTATATGGGAGTGTTATTTATTAGTAGAGAGTAATTTTTAATAGCAGAAAAGGGAGCTTTTGTGAAGATAATAAATATTGTTTTTTCAGCTGAAAGAGTTAATTTTAGTTGTTGAAAAAAGTTGATTATGAGATTAAGAGTGTTTTCTAATATGTTTATTGATTGTTTA